TTCTTTGAAAGATTTAGATGTTTTTTTCTCCATACCTTGTAATGAAAAGCGATCAAGAGCTATGTCATGATGTGGCAGTATTGATTGATGAAGTATCAAGTCAAATCTTTTCATGACTTATGCGAGTCCTATCCAACTGAACATACCACCTTATAGCATATCCGATTAAGCCATCCTGAAATACATGTATTAATAATTTTTCATTGTTGGCATGTGTTGCTATCTTACAACAATACATTATGATATACGTAATGGGATACTTTTTAAATTTTGGTCCCTTGAATTTCAGAGGAATCATAACATTTGGAACTATGCAAAAGTTGACAGCATCCATGGATCCATAGAACTCAATGCCTTCTACAGCCCGCAGTCTTTCCTTAATCATGCTCCTAGCTTGATCCGTCTTAGAGTTTTTTAAAGGTACAACTATCTGTAGCTTTTCTTTCTTCTTAGTCTTATCCATTTTGAGAATTTGGATTGGCTCTACCTTTTCAGTGAAGACATGATTGGTATAACTCTGAACATTCCCTTGATTGAAATTAGAGAACATGATCTGGTATTGATAAAGCTTAGAGTGACTTGAGTCTGACGTGGAGTGAAACCTGAAAGATATAGTGGCTCAGCATCTTCATGTGAAATGTCTTCTTCTGTTACCTTTCCTCTATTTCTTTTTTCCAGAGCTTTTAGGATTCTGCTCAATTTTCCTTCAAATATCTCCTGACCATTTTCTATTCTTTCAAGCTGGCCTATATTGTCTTGCTCCATTTTCTTAGCTTTAGCTCAAGTATAGTACTGGTGTTGAACTATCCTTGAACCTTGATTTCCTACAATTATGGTGCAAATTTAGGATGACGTTTATGGATTCATGATAATGAATGCATGTATAAATGATAAAAAAAAGATTAGAAAGCATAATACATAATCTGCATGTATTTTTATGAATATGCATAAAGAGAAAAGAAATAAAAGAAGATAAAAAAATCAATTAGTCACCTCAAAATAATGAATAAACACTACAAACCAAGTAAAATAACAATATGACCTTAGATTTGGGTTAACTACAAAGGGTGAAAGAACATGGCTCTATCTATGGTTAGGCTCTTAAAGTTAAATATATGTGGTTTGGACAACCTCTAAAAGGTTTTCAAATTATTCATTAATCGTCTATCACAGACTAGTAAGACACCATGATCCTCGCCCATCATAGGTTACAAGCAAAAAGAGTTCAATTTGAGTGAGAGTGTTTTGCAAGTTCATGTGGACACATGAAATCTCACGAGGGCATAGGTACTTCACTCCCTCCTAAAGGTAGAGCCTGGGTGGAGGACTTATGTTATGCATATGCAAATAAATAATAGATACATATACAATAAACAAGTAATTAAACAAATATAAACAATAAGAAAAAGTGAAAATAAATAAACAATTAATCAAATATAGAAAATGAAAAGAAAGAAATAGGAAAGACAAAAAAAAAATCTCAATTTTATTAAGCAAGGTTTGGATAATAAGAAATCATTTACTGACCTGACTCTCGATATCCCTAGCGAAGTCGTCAAACTATCATAACATATAGATCCATGAACCTACCGCTAGATATGGATTAGAGGAGTGGTCACTAATCTTTTTTGTTTAAGTGTGATTGATCACCTGATTGAATTTAATCTACAAAACTAGAGTTTAGATTCGAGTACAATTACACGTGAGAAAGGTTATAGTACCCCTATAATGTCCATCAGAAATATGGCACTAATTTGATTTCAGATTACCCAAGCCTTGAAAATATTTGTTATTTATCAAATTATTTAATATTAAAAATTAGTCTTAAAATTATCTCAATAGTTTGATAACAATTTAAGATAATTCTCTCACCTCAGGAGTATTCATAGAGACTAGTGTTCCATTCTGAAGAGACTCTGTCGTTGAATTTATTAATTTATTTTATTTTAAAAAAATTAATAAAATCTCTCAATAATTTGATAGAACTTACTTTGAAGTAGATTTCTTAATATTTTGGTGAATTTTATTACACAAATATTTTAAAAATTTTAAAAATTTCATTAAGCCTCACAATAGTTTGGTGGGACTTAATTTAAGAAACAATCCTTCAATAGTTTAAAAGATAAAATTATTTTTTATTTTATTTTTCTTTTATCTTAAAAAAATGATTTATGAAATTTTTCAATAGTTTGATGGATTTCATACAATTTAAATCCATGACAATTCTCCAATTGTTTTGTAGAATTCATAAATTTATTTAAAAAGATTTTTTTTATTTTTTTTGTAAATAATTAAAATGAAACTCACAAAGAAAAAAAATCACAATATTAAGTAATGTATTTTTTTTCAATTTAGAATAAGAAATAATAAGAGTAAATAAAAATAAACAAAATAACATAAATAAAATAAGAAAAATAAAGTCAAAATAGAAAATGGAGTGAAAAATAGGAAGAGAATACATGTGATCGGCTCATGGTAAAACACACAGATTTAGATGCCTTAAATTTTAGACTTTTCTTTAGAAATGTTTGAGTATGCCTTTCTTTCTAAAATAGTTATTCTTCTACCTTCTCTCTAATTGATTTTCAGAAATTGATGAATAAATCTCAAAAGCTGAAAGAGAATTTTCAAAAACCTAATAAATTATCTAAAAAATAAACCCAAGAATCCCTAGAATACAGAACCCTACAGAAATTCAAACTAAAAAACACCAAATCTCAATTCTAGAAAATCTAAACAAATCAAACCCATAACCTAAAACCTCTTGGTTGCTAAACAAATTTTTTCTCTTTCTCTTAAGAGTTTTTGCATCATCGTTTTTTCTTTCCAACTATTTGTTTTGATCACAGATTTATATAGGAATTCATGCCCAATCAATTCCCCTTAAATCTATGATTTTATTTGATTTTCGTTTTAATGAGAATTGATTCTGAAATCAAATCCTAAAATCTCACCCTATCAATTTAATATGAATTGATTGTGGAATTAAATCCCGACAATTTCTCCACATCATTTTTAATGCCAATTGATTCTGAAATTAAATTCCAAAAATCTCTCAATTACGATTGAAGCCTAGTTCCGAAAAAATATTTTCAGACAGAATTGGATGTCTACAGTTGCAAATGAGTGCAAGGAAAAAGAATAAAAATAAAAGGAAGAATAGATTAAATAAAGGCATGCATCTACCATCAATTTATCATGGCATACCTCTACACCATTAATAGAGTTGATGATAAGAGCTCCATCCAAATATAGATCTTCAAGAAAGATATCGCGGCCCTTAAGGGCCATGGTTGACGTTTGAGAGATGGAGCAACTTCCACTAACTTTGCTTTTTATCTCAAAAAAAGTTAAACCCCCATTTAGGCTTCCATGTAACACGCAACCACACTTCCACCTCTTGTCCATTGTAAACCTATTGTATTGGATCCTTCACTTGGACACCAGCCTAGCAAAAACAGATAAAAGTTGGAAACAAAGTATTCAACAATAAAATGATGGATAAAACGAGAGAATGAAAAAATATTTTTTAGAATGAGACAAATTCAATCACTTGAATTTAATCAAAGAATAACATAATCACCTTTTGAAGGATGAGACCGTTCGCACGATATATGGCAATTTCTCCAAAATTTGCACTGTAATATGGGTTCCTTTTTGGTACCTTAATCAAGGTTGAGAGAACATTAATAAATAGAATCAAACTGACAAAGATGTCCAGAACACAAACTAATCATCAAGGACAACAAAAGGTGTTGATAATAAATATCCAAATAGGACCCTTGGTACTAATGTAGAGAAAGAACATGTAACCTAATAGTTGCTTGCTTGAAGATTAACCAAAAATAGTTTAAAGGAGACAAAAGGTGAATAGGGTAGCATCATAAAAAATGGAACAGAAAGATGTTATAATGATGACCACAATCTAAATAAATTGTACCATATCCCTTGAAACAATTATATATTGTTCAAGTGTGAGCATTATATTAAAGAGAAGTAATGAACCTAAAAGGAACTAATTCACGTATTTAACAAAATTCACCATTAAATAGTTCCTACTTCCTATTAAAATTTGTGACAAAATATACTAAAAATGATGATTAACATATTAAAACTTTTATGATGCAAGAGATAAAAAGAACATCTTGAATGAAATTGCACAACACAATCTTGATGTTATAACTTTTCTATATTTTGATCTTCACAAAAGAACCTAATTATATTGTCACCCCATTGTGTATAGACAAGCCAACACCAAAAATCCTAGATTTGCTATCCATTGACATGCTAGATTATAATTGCAAAAGAGCCAATTAAACAAAGAAAGATGAACTCCAAAAATTATTAATACATAATTTCACCTTAGTAGCATCCTCAGGGTTGTTTTTCACAAGTGCATAAGCAAGCCATGTATCCATCACCCACACAATTGTATTACATCAGGTTTAGTAGTGATGAGTAAATATTTAATACCAAATTCTACAGAATCACAAGAGAAGATGGCACAGAAGAGTTTAAGGTCTATCAAGACCCAAAGCTTAAGTGAAATTATAAGAAAGGCTTGAAACCACCAATTACCATAAATCAAACTCTTGCTATCAGAAGGCCCAAGCTTTTCCTATTCCTGCTAGTGCTGAATTGCAAACAATGGTGGAGCCGGGGGCTTATAGAGCCCACAGCTAGCTTTGGTGCGATACAATCGAGACAATTAAGAAAGAGAGATTAGAAAACAATAAGAAAAAAAAAGGATGCAAGTAATTTTGTAAAGAGTAATGAAAAGAAAAGAAATTACTTTTGAAACCAAAGGTGCACACAACTAAAAAACGTGACTATTTTCTTGTAGAACTAAACCAGTAATACAACTAAACAAAACTAAATTAATCAGCAAGAAAATGTCAAGCAAACATGAATACCACTAAGTTTAACAGGGATCTAATCAAATGCAAAAGTATATTCAAATGAGCTTTACCAGTCAAAGAGCAATGAGAGATGCCAAAGTAATGGTTTTCTCAGGTGGAAGTCCAACCTTGTTACTGGACATGGCCGTTACCACCAAGCAATCCCCAGATGGAACTGCTTTGACTCTCCCTTTTGTACCAACTCGTGGCCCCAGCTGTTGATGCTACCATTGTCAACAACTAAGAACTACATAAAAATTTAACAAAATCTACACCGACCTGTTTGCTATGATACAAAAAAATGAAATGTCCCTAATCTTTATAGCCGTTTTAGTATATAATAACTTGCAAAGGCATGTTTTTAAATGAAGGTACTTGTTCATTTTCCAAAATAATTTTAGATTAAAGTTAGTGGAACCATTAGCACAATTTTTGAAACCAAACAAAAAAAAAAGATCAAAAGGAATTGCAGATATTCCTTTCAATCCAAAAAAAAGGGGAAAAAACCTTTATCATTTGCAAAACAAAACAACATATGAAAGAAAATTTTAAGTTACAAAGGAAGATATCATCAGGAGATCCAAAATAAGTACCCGAAAATTGCTTCATCAATAGTACTAACATAAGCTCCTCCTGCTATAATTAAGCCTATGGTGGCTCCGGTCAATGACCTTCCCTACAATTGAAAAAATAACCAAAGACCATGGAATCAGAAAGTAATGTCTTAAAACAGAAAATTCAGACATACAACCAATGAACATGAATAAAAGTTAACACCTCTTACTGGAAAGGTTTTTTTTTTTTTTTTTAAATTGAATTCAATGTTTTAAACCATCCCATAAACCAGAAAATCCAGCTTATTAAGGATTCTATTTCAAAAGTAAGATACAAACAATTTACGATTTTCTAAAACGCTTTTCTTTTAAGTTGGTCAAGCAAAAGAACCCATTTTAATCTTCCCAATCGCAACTTTCAAAATACCCATCTCACTATTAAGACATTTACACTTAGGTTACCCAAACTTTTTTACCTAAATTTGAATCGATGGTGAAAAGATATACATGGAAAAGCAAAAAAAAAAAAAAAAAAAAATCTTTGGCGTATAAAAGCTTCAAACATCTCTCTTTTACTATAGAAAAAGATATATATAAAACTTTTAAAACAATGAGGTAGGAAAAGAAAACTTACTGTTTTGGAAGAATGAAGGATTTTAGGAGCAGAAGCAACAGTAGAAGAGCAATTTCTAGAAGCTCCGATGGAAGTTGAAATGACCCTTTGGCGCATGAAGTATCTAAACAATTTCCCAGCTACCCTTTTGCCATAAAATCAAAATTGCAGGGACAAAAATAGTCTGTAAGAAAGGAAAAAGAAAAAGGAGAACCTTTTTTTTTTTTTTAATTTTAAAATTTATGGCTTTTGTATTGTAAAGTTGAAAAGAGAGGTTAAGAGAGGTTTTAGCAGAGAAAGAAAAGAGGAGGTTGTAAGGTTTTCGGTGTCTTTTATCTAATTCCAGCCCGCACCCTTCATCTACGATATTAGAATATGGTCGCTTGTTAATGCTAATTGCTATATTTGATCAGATAAAAACAATCTGAATAAAAGAATTCAAAAAAAAATTCCAAATTTGTAACTTCACATTCATCGCATCTTCAAAATGACTAAAACTTCGTCGATTGATCTTATAAAATGCTACATGCATCAAGAAATGTTGAAATATTACAACAAAATCGGTTCAAAATGCCTTAATCTGTTGACTTCAATGAACTATAGCGACAAAAAAAATAGACAATTTGAAGAAAAAAAATATAAATAAAATCATGATCAAAATCATTGCATGTAAAATCAGATTATAACAATGCAAATTAAAGAGATCTAACACTGAAAATTTTGAAAAAGTCAGTCCAGTCCCTGCTGCAATTGATCCATCTTTTGAAAGCAATTCTTTTCCCCAGAAGTGTTGATATGGGCCCAAAGGCCCAGGCAGAAAGAGGAGCTCTGATGAGCATCACGTTCAAAATATAGTAGAGAGAGAAGCGAAAAGAGATCAGTTTTCACAGGCTGTGATCCTTTTGCCTTTCCTTTTTTTTTAAATAAAAATAAAAATTTTAGTTTTTATTTTTAAACAAAGCAATAGATAAGAAAAATATCCGTACCCATTAAATTTATAAAAATGAGAATAAAAATAAATTTAAAATGTTTATTAAATATGAGTATGGACATCAATGAAATAGTTTAATATAAATATTGGGATTTTAATGAATTTATATAAGCACAAAAAACGATGCGCTTCATTGCATAAATAAAAAAATAAATAAATAAATTGGTTGATCTATTAAGGCTCAAAACGCACTTGCTTTTCGTCCAACTAACATGGGCCAATGCGCTACATTTTGCTGTTGCTTGAAATACTTTTTATCCAATTGATTTAATTATTTTATTTTAATTTAAATTAATAACAAAAACTCAAACTAATAATGGTAATAATATATAGTTATTTTAAAAAATTCTAATAGTGAGAGTATGAGATATAGTTTTCAATAATTTATTTTCTTTAGCGTATTTTAATTAATATTCTTTATATTTAACGCTAACCCAAATGTATTTTTTAATGAAATAAATTTACTAAATGAAAATTCAAGTCCAATTCATAAAGCTTTTTTTTTTTTTTCATATCATGACATATAATTTTTAATATATAATTATTTTATAAGTGTTCATTTTTAATTAAAATTTAACATCAACTAATAATAAAGAAAATATCATAATAATTCTTTAAAATTTTGTCAATTATGACTTCTAAGGAAAGTTGAGATGATAAAGATATTTTGTAAATAAATTATTAATTAAAAAATCAATTGAAATTTTAAATGAAATAGATACATACACCTACCTTTTAAAAAATCAAATAATTAACATTTTTCAAATAAAAAATTATCACCCTAGCATTAAACCAAGCATATATGACCCATAATGTGTCGGTAAGATATGTGAATCATTTAACTAAAAATTTGGTGGTGCCACACTATATAGCTTTTAGTGATGATGAAATTCTTTTAAAAGGAAGAGAAAGTATTAAGGCTTTGCATATCACTGTCAAGTGCAAGAGCCATATCATAACCAAAGTCTTCTTTGACAATGATTTTACTATTAATGTCATGCCTATGTCAACTTTGACAAGGTTACCAATTGACTTGTCACAAATGAAGAGTAGCCATATGGTTATACACGTTTTTGATGGCACCAAGCATAATGTCTTGGGAGATATTGATATGCTCTTACAGATTGGGCCATGTACTTTCAATATTAAATTTCAAGTGATAGATATCTTCTCATCCTATAATTGCTTGTTGGGAAGATCATGGATCTATATGGCAAGTGCTGTCCTATTTACCTTACACCAAAAAGTCAAATTCAACATGATGGGCCAACTGATCATTGTGTCTAGAGAAAAGGATATGTTGGTAACCCAACCTATAAATGCCCCATATATAGAGGCTACCGAGGAGGCATTAGAATGTTTCGACCGATCCTTTAAGCTTGTCGATTCTAGTAATGAAATATTTAAGATAAACCAACCTTGTTTCACAAACATAATGGTGAATCAAATGATCATGATATCAAATTTGGTATGAAAAGATGAAATCATTTTTCGTAATAAAAGGGATTTGTGAATATGAAGCTTGAACAGCTAAACCCAAAATTTGCTTCCAAAAGAGGGAAAAAAGATAATCCTTTGAAAATTTTAGAATTCAATTGGGTTTTAATGGGGAATAAAGACAATATGAAGAGGTCTAACAACCACCAATGACAATGTCAATCGGAGTTGCTTATTCATCTTCGTTTTTGCCTCTGAGCATGAACAATTTGATTTGTGGTAGCGATGGGGGATAGGTGCGATGGGGAAAGGGAAGAAAATTTAAACTTATTATGCTAAGGATTTGAGGATTCTTGACTTTGTCTTCTCTCACTTCTTTATTATTTTTTGTATATATTTAAAATTAAAATTATTTTTTAAAATTTATTAAAAAAGTTACTTTTTCAATGATCTAATTAATTGTTTTTAATGGAACTAATGTATTAATTATGGAGATTGTGTTATGGTGAGCTGTTTTAACTTTATAGATTGTAAGTTAATAGATTTCAAAGTTTGATTGGAGTGGTTGACATGCAAGTATGGAAGCTTGACAAGCTTTTGGCTGAATATGGGTTGTCTAGCCAAGCTGACTTGGATTACAAGAGATCGTTTGCCATGCGTGCTTTTCTCTAGCCGAATTTCCATAATAATGACCAAAAGCTTCTCCTTGCTATAGCTATAATTAAGTAAATTATTTTCTATATATATATATTTATATATATATATATTTGTCATGTGTTCTTGCATTATTTCATACTCTTGAATCTTATAGTGTGTTCCAACTTTAAGTCTTAAGATGCTCTACCTTAAAGAAAAAGTTGTAAGTGGATTTTACCATTCAGTACTTCTATTGAATATCTTTGTCGATTATTTTATGTTTGAATGAAATTAATGGATTTCCACTTCATATATTAGTAAGTTTTTTAAAAAATATTAATTTCTTGTATATTTATTTTAAGAATTGATAATTATTCATTAATTAAGTAATAATATCTAATTCATTAACAGTATATGAAAATTATATATTGACAAATTTAAATTTAAGTATGCATAAATGATTATGATTGAAAATTTAAGAGTTTTTTTGAGATTTTATTAAAAATTTGAATTAAATTTGATTATGATATCTTTTTTGATAACTGTAGTTAAACCAAATAGTTAATGATAGTGTTATAAGAAAAAAAGAAATTTTTTTAAAAATAAAGTGCAAAAATTAAATATTAAAAAGGGTGCGTATGAGGTTTATTCTTGACAAACTTATTGATAAGTTTGATTGAATTTTTTTAATATGGATTTTGTTGTTTTAGTTAAATTAAAAATATAAAAGATAAGAAAGTATATAAGATGGTCTAAGACTTGACCAAGAGAGCTTTGAGTCGGAAGATATCAAGAAGTTTCCAATTATCAAAAAATGCATGTTTTTCTTTGGTTTACTAATAATTTTTGCTTTTTGTTCATAATTTTTTGCTGTTATACTTGTTTCATGGCTGTATAGTGCATTACGGGACTTATACGCTGGCTAAGTGTGTATAGGAAATGTTTAATAAAATACTTATGTTTTTGTTTTATTTACAAAATTTATTTAATT